TTTACTAATAGCTTCACTAATAATAAGCTATTTATATATAAAATTTTTTGATTAATTTGATTAGTTAATATTATGTACTGTAAAATTTAGAATCTACTAATTAACATTTTTATATTATAAAAGATATGATCTTCAATGTTTATTTTTGATAAATTTTCTGATTGTATAGCCTTTTATTATTACTATATTTAGGGGTTGCTTAAAGCCAGGTCCATCACAAGATCTTCTATTATATACGACCAATCAAAATCTTCAATTTTTGTTTACACAGATCAGTTTGACGAAGCAAAAAAAGTAAAAAATATGAAAAATACAAGAAACTAATATCTAAATCTATCTTGGTGCATTAAGAAAAAATGTCGAGGAGATGATTTTACATATAAAAACTCTTTAATATTAGTTCATACAGGCTCTAAACTAATCCTAGCCTTAATATTAATTTAAATTTATAATAGATCCAGCTTTAAGCATCCCCTATATTTAGCTATATTTATGTTCTTTATATCTTTTATCTTTTTGTTACTATACCTTCCAAGTTAGTAATTTTTAGATTGTAGATTCTTATAATCTCTCAGTTTAGTATATCTATTATTAGTTTTTTAAAATATTTTAATAATTATGTCTAGAATCTATAAAAAAACCTATATCTCAAACCAGAAACTGCTATCTAATTAGATTTCTATATAATAGTATTGTTATTATATTATCAGATAAATTCTTTTATTTATTTGCTTAGATACTACTAACTTATATCTCAAGCCAACCTCTGCTGCTATCATTTTCTTTAAATAGATATCTCAAATCTTTTTTTGTTATATAGCAATTTAGTATTACTATATTTTAGTTTATACTTTCTACTATAGTAGAAGAACAGAACCTCTTTATTTTTAAGATAAACCTGATAAAACTTGCTATATTCTTACTTTATACTATATAATTTTTTGATTTGCACTTTAGTTAATATGTATAAACCATAATTCACCACTTATGGCTTAAATTTTATTCAATATGAAAATATTATAATACCAGATCAAGATCTTGTCTATAGTTTAGTTTTTTTTAATTTTAAACTTTTTCTTGTTTCTATTCTTGTTTAACTTTAGTTTAACTTAAACTTTGCTAAATAATCTACTTTTGCTCTTGCAAAATTTATCCAAACCTTAAAACTTAATTTACAGTATATCATCAGTAATTTAGTAATCCTGATTTCTTTTTCTAAACTTTCAATTCAAATAGACTAGTTTGAACACTTCTTTTTTCTCCAAGTTTGATAGTAATCTAATTGGTCTGAATAAAGTTCAATTATTATGCAGACACCAAAAACATTTACCCTGGATTGCCTCATGTTTCTAATCTAGATGGCTTGATTAACATATACTTTTCTTTTGCATCTATAGACAGAAACCCTTATTATAGAGTAGCCTAGGTGGTTTGGTATTGGTATCACAAGGACTCCCAGCAATTCTTAGTAATCTGATTAAATAATAAATCTGTAATATATAAACAACAAACCTTTTCTTAATTTCAAAAGTATACTTTTCAAGAACATATTCCAGAGCTTCTAATCCTTTAATATCAATAAAGTCCTTTATCCACGAGAGTTTTGCAGTAGATAAGATTACACATAATGATTGTGGCGGTTCAGATAAAGATTTTGCAGTAACATTCCTTTTTAGCATATAAATGATTATTTAAATTCTCGAATAGAATGGTATATAATCAAAAAAAAACCAGTGATCAAGAATACAGTTGCATTAATTTTTCGATATAAAAGTCAGGATTCAGTGTTGTTGATTGTGTTGACTGAACGTTGAAATCCCACTGGCCATCTATATTTTTCCAGAGGTTCCAGTTAGAAATCATGGGCTCTAGCATTACCAACCTAAAAAGTTTCTCTACTAGTGTATGTTAAGCGTTAAGGTTGTTTTTGGATTTATGTACTGTATGTATGAGAACAAAATTTGCCCCCAAAAATTTTCGAGTTATATGATATTTTCCATACAATAATCGTAACACAACAAATATAATACGTAATTGATCTGTGTTGTTTTTTTCTATGTACGCAGTCGTAACTGAGGAATAATTTCACCACTATTGAGGAAGATTGTGTGGCCAGCCTCTTTAGTTGTAACAATCGGTTTTGTAACTAATCCAACAACGATGCAGTCCTTATTTTCGTCTAATCATCAATATTTGTGTTAAATAATATAAAGACGATATATCTAAATTTTTGTGCTGAAAACTTTTACTTAATAACAGAAAACTACAAATTTGAGTTGTTTTGCGATTTCTTGCAATCGGATTAGGTAAGAATCACAGGACAGGCAAAAATTTTGTGTTATCACTTTGCTACTCGCGAAATGGCAACGGCAAACAGTGAAAAATGAAATTGTAAAATTAAATCACATTATTAATATATAAGTGGTACCAAGAGAAAACTTGCAAATCATGTTCTTTGAATATTTCATTTCTAAAAAAATTTTCTTAGAATCCAGCAAAGGCAATGACAAATATTATGTAATTTTTTGAGGGAGAGAGGAGTCTTCGAAATCATAAATATAAATTTATAAACTATCCAATCAAAGTTTTTTTATGTGGGAGAAAGGGGAAGAAGATAAATAAAAAAATATAACGTAATATTTGTCACTACTCTAATCGAGCACTTATTATTTAATACAACAATTCGAATAAAATTAAAATTTCAAGTATTCAATTACTGGATTTCAAATATTAAAATAAAAAATTTAAAGAACATTGGTTACAAGTTTTCTTTTGGCATCAATTTTTCTGCTTTGCTGTTTTACTACTTCACTATTTTACCAGTTTTATCATTCCACTATTCATTATTTTACCAAGAACACTTACTAATTGGTTATTGATAAAATGATAAAACTATTTTACTATTTTAGTTTAATTTTAGCAGTATTTTTAGATAGGTTAAACCAAATTTGAAAGCTAATATAACAATATTAAAAGTTTATTAACTTGTAATATTAATACAATAATTCAGCTTGATCTATTTGGGATTTGGTTTTGTCAGGTTTATTATAGAGATTTAGGCTAGTTTTAAGATTAATTTTGTTTATTAATTTAAAACCAAACCATATATATATAATATCTCTACTATTAATTTAATTATATTTAAATAAAAACTATTAACGATAGGACGATTTTAACGCACGCTTACCGGAGGTGAAATTCACCGGATATGTTGTTTCTCAAACGGCTTTGATAATCGGTATTTGGTATACTAAGTAAAAGTGTCCAGCACCTTAAAAACCCTAACCTTTACCTAACCCTAAAGTTTAATTTTAGTTTTAAAATTTGTGGTGACTAAAGTTTAATTTTAGTTTTAAAATTTGTGGTGAAATTTTCTATAGATCATATAATAATAATTAAAAACATATCGACCTCCAGTGAATACTAAATAAATTCTAAAGGGACATATTTATATAAAATATTATTTCTAGCTAAAAATAAATAAAAATAAATAAAATTTAATTTCTACAATCAACCAATTAACTAATGTGTTAAAAAAAACAATTATACACTTCATTCCTGAGGGACGAGCATTGACAAAACTCTTTGTATATAAAACATATGGTGCATCATTCGTTTCTTTTTTTTTTTAAAAAAAAAGGTAAAGTTAAAAAATATAATCCATTTAAATTTTGATAGAGAAGAATATATATAAATAAGACAAACCATGTTGGTTTCTTTATCTTCATCTTCACTTTCATCTAAATCATCATCTTCATCATCCTCATTTTCGTTTTCTAACTCATCATCGGTTAAAAGATTAATTTCATCATTATATTCATTTCTATTATCAGATATTATTTTAGAGTTGTTATCATCGGTTATAATTATAGCATCATCGGAAGTAGTTTCATCATCAGAATCATAAGTCAAGTCGGTAATATCAACATCAATATCATCAACCCCGCTAAAATCTGGTGTGGATCGATTAATGATGGATGTTAAGATAGAACTAGTAAGAGAAACAGAACTTTGAGCTGAATTATCGATCGGACAAGGATTAGATAAGCCCATTTCAGATAAGATGTTAATTACATATAATTATTCATTCCAAGTAAAATATCACCGTATGTACAAGATAAATGAACGGTTTGAATTTGCAGATTGTTAAATATATTTTATGTAATCTAATGACGCAGTGCATTACCTAATTACGTAATATAAGGTATCACTAAAGTACGTGGATGTGTACGTACGTACGTACGTACGTACGTTAAGCAAACCAACCTGTATCGATTCGCTCAAAATTATCTGTTATTGTAAAACACTAACTAAAATATCATACCAATAATTTGTGTATTCAGAAACTTCGTACTCTGTAACACACCAAGTTAGCGTTCTATGGTAATTCAATAGATGACGTTTACATACTTCAGGAGAATAATTAATGATTCAAAGAATTATAAATTAAACTATAATCAAGTTTATTGGTTGTTTCTTCAAGAACTTAACAGATGTTATTGAAAAAGACGATATAAACCAGCAAATATATTCACTTTTACAACAAATTTCAAGTTATGAAATTAATATTAGCGATTACATAAACTACAAATAAGAATGCAATTTTTTAAACTGATATATATATATAAAAACTTACCGACTCCAAAAACTCCTAATCCAACTTTTTTAAATTGAGCAGATCGAGATAATCCAAGTGCTACATCTGACTTAATTTTTTTACTATTATAAATTGCGTAAGAACCTAATCCAATAAAAGTTATAGACCCCACTAGTTTACAAGATAGGCAATCTTTATATTCAGATTGTTGAGGTTGTGAGGAATTTGATGATGACATTGAATCAGGTCTTTGGAGAAACGATAACGATAACGATAACGATAATGGTAAGAATTTTTTTTTATATCATATCCATAACGATAACGATTGATTGTTGATCCAAGCACGTGTATCACCTAGATTGAATATATATCGACATAATTTTTTTTTAACAACTTTTATAAGATGTGTGCACATCGAGCAGCTAGACGGGCAACTTTAGAAAATTTACTTTCATCATTACAAAATGAATTAAATTTAAATCCTTCTCAGCCATTATTTAAATTAACTTATACCTCTTCTCCAAATTGGCCTTATTATTTAATAGATTCCACTAATAAATCTCGAAATAATCCAACATTAAAAATTGCGATTTTAGATTCATCATTTAATCCACCCACAAAAGCCCATATGCAATTACTATTACAATCCGTAAAAAATCAAACCAATTCAAAACCTGATAATAATTTTGTACCTTTTGATGCCTGTTTATTACTTTATGCGATAAAAAATGCTGATAAAACACCATCACCATCTGATGCCGGGCCAGTGGATAGATTATTAATGATGGAATCTTTAGCATCACAAATTAATTCTACTATCATCAAGACTGAACCAACATTCAATTCTCTTCAGAATATTGCTACTGGTGTGATAACTCATCCATTATTCATGGATAAGGCGAAAGCTATACGATCTTATCTTATTAATAATAATAATAAACCATCTCATTCCATTGATTCTTCTAACGGCGTTGATAATTCTCCTCAAGTTTCTCTTTACTTTATTCTAGGTTTTGATACTGTAATACGTTTATTTAATCCTCAATATTATTCAAACATTTATAAAGAACTTAATTCATTCTTTGAAATTAGTAAGATTATTTGTGCTAATAGAGATGGATATGGTGGACGGGAATTTGAAGAAAATTTTTTTAAAAGTGATATTATAAAAGAAATTATTGGTGAAAGTGGAAAACTAATAGGGGTGAAATTAGATGATGAATTGGCCAAAATTTCGTCAACTAATGTTAGGAAAGCTGTAAGTGATGCATGGAATATAGAACGACAAGAAACTGATGATTATGGTGAACGAGAAGAAATGATTAAAAATATCTTATATAATTTTTGTCCTGAATCAGTTGCTGAATTTATTATTCAAGAAAAATTGTATAGGAATATACGTTGAAGTTTGTAAAAATAAATAAATAAAAAAATAAATAAATCATTTTTACAATTTATCATAGTGCGTAATTTTGATAAAATCACATTAAAATTATTGTATTAAAATTATTGTATATGAATACTAATTTTTACGAGACAACCTTTGTAAAAGATAATTAATACAAATACCTCTACTATCGTTATTATTATTTATTCTTCTGTAGAAACCATTTAATAAAAATTATTTGGATAATTATTAATGTACATAACCTATTATTTTATTAACCAACATTACGTTCGTGATCTAATTATTTTTTTTTAAAAAAAATAAGAGATAACGTGTTTGAGTAAAATTAGATTTCACAAATCTTGATAACTCAATAGCAATAAAATGTGACAATAAAAATATTATAACTCACAAAGATTTATCTCCAAACCTTCTTCCCTTTTTTAAAGGAATGTCTTTTGATCAAATATTCGTTAAGAATTGTTCTTTGTCAATCAAATAAAATCCCCCCTTATTAACCTATAGTTATTGATACTTTCTGGAAACTATTTTCATTTGATTTGTAAGCTTTTTAATTCGTTCTTGTGAATTTCCATCCCTTAAATATCCAAACCAACCTTACATCTCGTCATCAAATTTTTTACATACATAAACATGAATTTTTTTTTTTTAAAAAAAAAAATAATAAAGTATATAGTATCAAAATCAAAAGGGTTCAACATTTGCGTCCGTAAATGAAGTCATGATTCCTTTCTGTTCGAGTAACCTTTTGATAGCACATTCCAAAAAAGGATCACCGAAATAAAGGCTCGTGAAATGAAAAACCTTGAGAGAGTTTGTCGCGATATTTTCAAGAAATGATTTGACAGCGTTAGGAGATGGATAATAGTTAGTTGCTTCGATAGAAATATCCCAATATTGAAGTGTAGGTGGTAAATGTTTCGCCATTTCTGAGAAGATTGAATCATCAAAGTTATCTTCTGTATAGAATTTTAGTTCTTTCAATTTTTGACATGAATCTAAAATAGAAATAATTTCCGAATTCGATAGTGATACGAATGATAAGTGTTGAAGATTTTTACAATTTTCCACAATGATATTTGCGATCTTGGATCTATCTTCTTGTGGTGGACTTGTAGAGGTGATTTTAATGTGTCGAAGATTATGATTTGCAGATTCGATTATCTTGGCAATAAAGGATTTTGGAAATGCAACATCATAAAAAATATTATTGATGAACTTGAATTTTTGTAAGTTTGGAAACATGTTTGGCCAAGGCTTTAAACAAGTATCATTCGTTCTTTTGCAATTCGTAATTTCGAAAGATTTTAAGTGAATACACCATGTCAATGCCTCAAATGCATTATTATTAAAGTATTGGAAGTCGATGTTGCATAGTTCAAGTTTTACTAAAGAATTCTTTTGACTTTTTATAGATTGAATGATTGTTGAAATGTTTTGATAATATCCAGTGATACCAAGATATTGCAGTGCACCTTGATTTTCAATAAGGGAAGCCAATGCTTTGCATGCGCAAGGAGAAATCCGAGAACTTCTATTTTGCGCGATAATGTGCTGAAGATTATTCGCAACATCAGAAATGTTTTCTATGAAAGTAGAGTCATCATCCTTTTCAAAAAATTGAATCTTTCTCAATTTTTGTAAATTTGGAGCATTCTTATCAAACAAAGAAGATTTTACAAAACCAAAATTTCCAGAATGATTAACGAAATGAATCATCTCAGCTCGTTCCAGAAACAAATCACAAAAAGTTTTTTTCAATATGTCAATGTAATGTTGCTTTGGTTTTGTCAAAGTTCTTCGATGAATAATCCATAATTTTGCCATCTCTGAAATACGATCAAAATCTAGGATTCTTAAAAATGCAGGATAATCAAAGAGTGGTGGTCGTCCACGTGGTGCGGGTGGGAAATATATTCCTTCCTTTTTAATATCTTCTTTTTTGTTCTTGGGAAGACATAGTAAATAGGATCTTGCAAGAAGTTTTGTTGTTTTCTCAGGTGAATAGTCACCAGGATAAATTGGTACTCGCCAAAGAACTGGAATTGCTATCTTACACCAATGTCTACTAACCGATATACATGGTCGTAAATTACTAGCTGAATTACACGATCGTGTATCAGTAATTATTAAATTTTCAAAAATCTCTTTCAGGATTTCTGTTGACAGTAAGTTTATCGACATATTGTAAAGAATTTTATTCTCATTCGTTGTTTATTTGTATAAAAACTTTTATAACTAGTTTGAAAACTATTTTGAAAACTATATATTTTGAAAACTATTTCGAAGAGAAAAAAATCAAAATTTGGTGGCTGTGATCGTTTAATTTTTCGTCCCTTTTATAATCATCTGCATTTGCATTATCATTGTGATTATGTCATGCATAAATGCCGTTTAGTACATATATGTATATACTACTGTAGTATTTTTTTTTTTCACGAAAATTACGTTACTCTAAGATTTGATTGGTTGATTTGATACATGCATTGAGTAAAAAAAGACGAGTTTTTTTTTTTGACTTTAATAAACTATAAAATTGAATTATTTAGACTTTTAGCTCGTTATAAACGTAGTAATCTTAAAAATTATACGTTCAAGTCTGATTAGTTGTCATTTAAGATTTTTTAAATGCTTCTTATCTTTAAGGCTGGTACTGGGCAATGATGCTATTTACCGTTACGCCGTAATTCTCAAAATAATAACATTTAAATTGTAAACACTGAAATTAGAACTTGTATATGCCCAGTTGAAATAACTAGTGTACTGTACAAAGCATTATGCTAATATTAATCTTGGTTAGTAAATTTGTTTATAAATAATAAATATTTAAAAAAAAAATTATTATTATTATTTTTTTGCACAAGACAATTTCTTTTAATATCGCTAAATACAAAGTTTACTCCAAGAAACAATGTAAAATTACAAACAAACAGAAATATCTGGTACAAATGCAATTATATTAGCTAATTAACTGTGCCCTCAAAAATCCTTAAACTTTGATCTAATTCTAAAATTTGAAATATTTAATCATGTAACTCGTTGCTATATTTTACCCAGAGACGTAAGATAACAACGCAATGTGATGATTAATCTCACGTATAAAGCTGTGAATTCCTAATGTGATTCTAATTGTCACATAGCTCGAGTCGTCCCAAATAGTTTGAGCCACATCCTAATTTTTAATTCGGCAAATGTAACATTGGCAAGGATCGTGTTAACAAGATCGTTCCCCACGTGATCGCAATTATCACTAAAACATAGTAAGAACATATGATAGGCGCTAAACTAAGTATATTCATATACGCTTATTTGAACAATTAAATGGAATGAACTAGTCGATTTGGTCTGGTTTTATTAAACCATTAACCAGTAAAATCGATATGATTTTACATAATATTATATAAAATTGTAAGACGGTATTTATTTGATTTACTTTTTTTTAAAAAAAAAACTTAGATACGTATTATATGCAACAGGTTTTTTTCAATAACTAATTATATTATGTTTATTTATTGATAAAAATTACTACGTATTCGATTTTATCAAAATTACAGTACAGAAATTTAACTCTCTTAACGTACTGTACGTACTGTACATTAACTGCATAATAACACATAGTAACTACGTATACGTATCAGATATTGTTATTATTAAATTTAATAGTTAGCTACGTACGTACGTACGTACGTACGTACACAGGCAATTACTGCACGTTAATATAATTGGGCTTATATATAATAACCAAAAACATCCCTATTTTTATCTATTACGTACTGTACATACATGCTGTGTTGAAGATTACAAATTAAGTTAACAAGTCTACTACGTTGAAATCCATATACAAGTTTTTTCTGCACTATAAAGTATATATTAAAAAACAACTCTTAGATTAATTAAAACGTGTTTAGAAAATTCTACTCAGGTTTCCGTTTTTTTTCTTTTTTTAGTCAGTATATATAATGTAAATACATATTTCCTATGTTTAAACCTAAAGCTCCAACACATGATATCTGGGCCTCGTTCCACTTTAGTATATGATAAATTCTTCAGGTGTGCATTGTACAAATCTTAGTATTTACATCTAAATAAGGTTTAAACGCCTTTTTTTTTTAATATTAAACGACATTCACTATGTATATAGTTGCTATACAATTAATTAACGCTAATCGATATGTGAGTATTTTTATAAAGATTGCAATGCATTCAAGTGCTCAGAAATTTGCGATGGTAATGCTATCTTAACTAAGTTATGGCAATATTGTTAGTACCTATAATTCTGCCTCGCTCAGCAAAAAAAAAAAATCATTGGTGGAAAATGATATTTAAATTTTATTTTCTATTTTACTCTGCAAGGATTTTGAAGATCAAAGTTTGATTTACACACGGGTATTAAGTATAAAAATGTCTTATTTAAATACATAAACGTAAACTTATTCACACTATACACCTATCGCTATTGACGCACACCAAAATCAATCATTTAAAAACATTAAATAATGAGTCACAAACTAGTATCCTGGTATATAAACTATATACATAAAAAATATAATGACTTGTTTTACAACTAAATACTTCTAACTATTCTTAGTATAACCAATGCGAACTACAGTCGATTTTGGATATAACGAACTTTTAAAAACATTTTATTTTAGGATCGGTGTAAAGACATAGTAAACTACGAACCCTTAATCAACTGTAAAAAACCGAACATAAAGCTTTAGAACATTTTGTAAATTTTACACATATAAGGGAGGGTCGGGTATTTTGGCGCACTTACATTTTTGATAATATCTTGCGATCCACTGATTAAAATTGACCAATTTTAGGACCATCCGATTCGTTTTACTGAGACGAATCGAATATAAACATTAAAATATAAAATGTTTACATTGTAACGTAATTTTGAAGATCAATACGTGTATACATAGTTCGCCAAAATACCCCTAACCAAAAAAAAACGTAACAGTTTTCAGATAGCTTTTGAAAGTTCCAAATATAAAGTTTTTTTAAAAAAAATTTATGGTTTATTTTTTGCTTGTCGATGGATATGAGTGTCGCTAAAAGAAAAACCGAAAATTTAAATATAAGTCATATTTAAATTGTCGGGTTTTCTTTTAACGACACTCATATTAAGTCGAATAATAAGAACTTTAAGAACCGTCAGTTCGTATAACGATTATCTCGTGACTTTTTAAAATCCACACCATTGTTTTTTTGTTTTTTTTTTATACAAATTACATATTTTATTTTTTTCACACAACCCACACCGCTTTAATAAACAAAAAAAACTCCTATGGTTTTGCCATAGGAATTTTCCAAAAATTTAAAAGCCCACTTCAATGAGGCACCCACACGGAAACCTTTAGTAAAAGGCGAAAGGTTTATACGTTCTGCGAGTACCTCGTGGGAAAGATGGAGAACAAACCAACGATTTTCATCCTTTATTTATAAATTTAGGAGAATTATGGGATTCACAAAATGGTAAATATCTGCGTTAATCAATCAATCAAAATCAATCAATCACAACATCACATGTATGTGTATCATGTGGACGCAAATCAATTTTTTCTATAATAATAAATGAATACCATAACGACTCATATCTTGTTCTAGTTCATTCTGGTCTAAAATAATCTATTAATAAAGTGTTTCGCAGAATACAAGGCAAGTTTTAGCTTAGTCTAAAACACTAATAAACCCGTAGTTTTTTTATATGTTTTATATACTAGTTTCTAATATTAGTTTATTTTCAGATAAGGCGTTTCTTGTACTTTTAAGGTGAAACCAATGATGTATAGCGGATATACCAGGGCGACTCCCCGAAGTTTGGCGTAGCATTTTGAATTTGA